GGACAATAATAATTATGTAATAGGACTATTGTTCGTCTTAATCGCAACGCGCTATGGTGATTAGATAAATACAATTAAAGTAATGGTCGCAGACCGATAGGTATGGTGATATATTGATTAAAGGGAAAGGTGGGTTCAATTGAATAATGATATTGTAGAGGCTAAAATTCTGTGACGTTACAAAATGAACCGAAAAAGTACATTTTCGAACGTCTAGTGATCGGTCATAGTAATAATAATACAATAATTATGTGTTTAGTAATAATATAATATATTTTATTTTATTCATATGCCCGCAAGTGCATAAATTATAGTTTGAGCCGAAGAATTCTGACTATGACACAGCATTTTCACCGGTCTCGCATCGATCTGCGCGGTGGCGGCGGCGTTATACACGATTATTATATATAACATAAAGTTTTAGTATGTTGAGTCGGGTCAAAAGCTAACGCTGTTCGATCGATAGTGTTCGCGCAAACGCCCTGGCCCCCTCACTCCCTGGTTTCTACGGGCAGGTTAAAATGCGTACTTACACACTCTGCGATCGGGTGTAGTGGTATTGTGTGGGGGGGCGGCGGCGGCGGCGGCGGCGGCGGCATAGTCTATGGCTGGAGGTGTGGCTGCAGACAGACGAGTTTGTGTGGTGGCGTGAGCTTAAGAGTGAATCACAAACTATATAGACTGCCAATGGCCTCGTTATAATATTATCAAGTCATTGAGCATCGTGGTAATAGATCGTTCGGTGAATAGGACTGCCAAAAAATATTATTATGCTTTTGCATCTTTCGTATAAAAACGACGCGAGTTACTCACTTACTCCGGAATTTACTTCTTGTATAATATAGTGAATGAAGTTGCATGCAACTGTTATAAGTCAGATACAAAGCACGATACCATTACAACAATTTAATTGATATACAGTGATCTCAAATAGCCAAATAGAAATAAATATATTATGACATAATAGGTAKWTTATTWTTATTWTTATTACAGCTGGCGGTGGTGGTTGCATGTCAATATGTCATAAATTATTATATGCATTTAGTCAATGATATTACAATATTTTCCAATATTATTCAGATAATTATAAATYTCTACAATGGTACAAATATGTGTTATAATAAGAACATAAAMCCCAGTTACCATTTGTGATGCATAAAATCGGTCTTGTTGCTCCAATCCTAGCTGTAAATAGAAAATTCTACGTTTACTGAAAGAATTATGGTTTCTTATAATTTATAATAATGTGTGATTTTAATAACACAGCCATTTACTTACGCCAATATATTTAATATATATATATATATAAATATACTTAATATTTATACATACTCGTATTACCTTTAGGTTTGATTTATTTCAAATCATTACAAATAAATAACATTTTTTTTTTCTATAAACCTACGCTTTATGTACCGTCATTCAATTTAGAAACGTTCAAATTCTATGAAAAGTTTAAGTTTAATGATGCTTTTAGTTCTTTAACTATTTAAAAAGTACTATGACTTTTAGTTATTATTAACTATGATTCAAATGATTTATTGTAAAATAATACAATATATAATATTTATTATAAAGGTAACAAAAATATTTAAAACACTGTTAGGAATAGCGTGATATACAAAYTATTTTATGTATTGCATTTTTTAATCATACATTCACTTTCCCCACCAATTAAAACAATATMATTTATTATAATTTATTTGGTATAGGAATGGTACACCGAAGTAAAAGAGCTGTTCAGTGGCATCTTGGACTTCAGTATGTTTTTAGAACTGCATTTCCTATTCCTGTCCCTATCCACGATATTGCTATTCACGTGGTTTATCGTTCCGTATTTCTATCTCACTGATTTTGTCATGGCTCAGGGACTAAGCGAAACCGAAGCATCCACTATCATCAGCACTATCGGAGCTACAAACACTGTCGGAATGGTATGTATTAAGCCAATCAATAAACAATTATTATTTACAAAAGATTTAATGCTYATATGTTTGATAGTTGTTCTCCGTAGAACCCAACATAACATACGGAATAATAAACTATAAGCTGGGAAGGAGGGAATCTTGTCGTGATTTGATAACGTATTAGGGGACTAYAGAATATATTCTAGAGCCTAGACAACTGTAATCCGATTATCTCTAAAATAGGAACCTAGGTATTCTATATAAAAAAAAAAATTAAATGTTATATAATAATCAATGAAAATTAATCAATAATTCTTTAAAAAAAAAAWTACAAATCGCTAGTACCTGTATTGGGGCTATATTCTATGGGATTTACCAGTAACCAGTAATCGAACAATGTGCGTTTCCATGAACAAAGTTCAAAAATATTAAACCAATATTTTATTGAACTTACCTTTACAATTAATATTCAGGGGAAAAATTCTTAATTGGTCGCACTTTAAGAATAATACTAATTCATTACGATCGTAATTCGTAATTTCGTAATTATTATTATTATTGCTACCTACCTATTTATTTGTACATATTATAGTATTATTAATTATATTATTTAGTATTGTTTTATGGAAATAATATGGTCTATATACAATTTCCTTTTTTTCTTATCAAATGTCTACAAAAATGGTTGTCTTAACCGTTATACCTACAAATGAATAGTTAATTATAAAAAAAAATTTAGTTCGAGTATAAAAGGGCTTATAGTCAATAAATTGTATTAACTCATAACCGTATTACAAATTAAATTTAAAACGGATTTATTTAGCAGGACATCATAATAAAGAGGATCAAAAATTCATAAAAGACTCAGTTTAAGAGATTATAATAATACAATTATTATTAATTGAGAATCAATGAATAATAGTATCTTTATGATCGCTTGGTGTAAAGGTATTGATTTTACTATTCGTTTTAGATATTACTCGGCTGGGCTGGTGATTATCCATGGATGAACGTGACCAAGGTGTATGCGATCTGTTTAGTGGGCTGTGGCATTTGCTGTGCCATCATGCCTTTGTTTATCAGCAGCTTTTGGTCACTAATCGTCATCGGTGCTGCGTTCGGTCTGTTTTTCGCTTCAAATTTCTCGTTTACGCCTGCCATTTTGGTAGAACTCATACCGCTGGACCGGTTCACCACCGCGTATGGTCTAATGTTATTGTGCCAAGGAATCGGCAATCTATTGGGACCGCCATTAGCAGGTAAAAAAATATACATGCTATATATATGGTGTATTACATATACATAATATTTATAGTATAAATGGATTACAATAACAATATACAAAGTGTAATCCCAATAATCCGTCAGTGGCGATACGCCGATACCAAATCTGTGTTTTATATAATCTGTGGCAATACCAAGAGGTCCGCAATTGTCAGATAACGTGATAACTAACTGAATAAGACGGATTTGAGAAAAACGAATTTGGGAGACTGGCAGATAATTTAAAACACAATTACTATAAGATATGAGCTAAWTATACGTATGATGTTTAAAAATATTTTCTTGCAATCATAGTTATTTTAGATTAGCTATGATAACCTGAAAAAAATATTGTAATTGAAAATATATAACACTTATGTAAATGCCTATTTTTACCTTAGTCATATATTGATATATCATTCCAGATAGTAATTTTTGTCCATCTTGGTACTCGAGTAGATTACATATCTACTATTTTTTATGTTAGGGAAACGGATACAATTATATAATTTTCAAAATTTTCAATTTTGTTACAAAAATAACATTTACACTTAACTGATTTTTTTAAATAAAAATATTGAACTTTACTTTTAAAAGTCGTTGAGTGAATGAAAATTAAAAATAATAAATATTACAATAAATTGTACCCAGTACAGGAACAATTTTACCTACCAGTACTARACTAATTGAACACATRTGTTTTTATTAGATTTTTAATAACATAACCCATTTAATTGTTTGTACGTWATTGATAACCAATAATATAGATTTAAAAAAAAATAATAAATTCACAATACTGTGATGAAAAATTAAGGTACATCAAATAAACATAAATGACAAAATTATCAGCAGTATACTTTTAAATTTTTAACAAAAAATACAGTTGAATAATGCATATATTATTATACTGTAATACGTGGGTATAATATTTTACTACAAATAGTATGTTGTCTAATATTTCGTCAGTAAATCATATATTTGCAGGCTGCAGYTTTCAATAGTTCATTGTCTSATATTTTGTTTAACTTTATTCGTCTTTTTGAGACACACCTAACTATAAWGTGAAAAATAAATAAATACAATTTCAATAAGAATTAATAGTWACAATTGCCACTGGTAATTTGTACAATTTYATCCACATAAAATTTGTTTGAAAATAAACAAAATAYTTAAGATATGAATGACGAAAGTACTTATACGATTTTTTCTTGTGTCTGAAGACAAGTCAAATAAAATTTTTATTAAATCAAATTAACTCAGACTACGAAAACTATAAAAAATTATAGA